TTAAAGAAGGGTTGACATGAATGACGATGATTAAGATGTTGATGAAGATGATAATAAGCAGTAAAATGTTACGTATAATTTTTCTGAAGACAAATTTCAATTATTACATAGTTGATTAATTGATTAAACTTCTCTAAAGTAATTAATTGTAAAACAATACTAATAAATAAAATTACAATTATGAGATGGCATAACAATGATTCATAACCTCAGCACTGACCACTACAACAAGGTCTGTGGCTGACGATCGGCTGCTTTTCGCATCCGTAAACCGACGTGCAACTTTGTTGTCTATTTCATAATGCACGGCATATAGATCAAAGAAATTTATTGGTCAAAATAAGCGATGTGGTTTATAAAGTAGGTCACGCACAAAGCCGTACATCATACAACCGCTGTCAGAAGACAGCAACGGACTTCCTATTGTCCATTCCGATTCAAACATCCATAGCTTCCTGGTAGCATTGATCCGTAGGATAACTTGCAGTAAGTCTGCGGCAAGGACATCTCCCTGCTAGCTGAGCACAACAAAAACTGCAACATAAATCCTATATCTTATATTCATCTATCCCGACTTCCTACTGGTTTTTGATTTCTGTTGGGAACTAGGCAGACCGGGTCAAGTTTGATGTTTGATGGTTGCCGACGGAATAATCCACCGCCTTAAAACGTGCCAATTCATAAAATGATACCATAATAATGAACCAGCCATTTTGTAATTGTTGTGGTGAAAGTTCTAAATTGTTTAATAAGCCAATGAATTGTTATCTGTTCAGGGTTATCGTGTGTATTTATAATTACGTGTTTTGTAAATCATTTTTAAGCATTTAAACTTAAATGTTTGCGTGAAACTGCACGGCATTTAACAAGCCTAAATAAGTCATTGTCCAGGGAGATTAAAGCGTGGTCAAGAAAGTGGTCATTTTCAATTTTGCGACCAGAAGGGGTTAAAATCCTTTTATATTTCATGTATTTCTTTGGTGGTGATGATATCTGAGAAGGTGAATTGATTGGATAATGAAATACAAACCGGGCATTGCCCCAGGTAACACTCCAGCCAATACAAATGCTCGATAGTAAAATAACATAGGTTGTATTCAACAGCTTGACAGTTTGATTGGCTAATACTGAATGGTCAAGAGAACTATTCTTTTGCTTGTTGCCTCGCTGTAATCATTCTTTATAATCTTATAAAAAAATAAGACCTTGAAAAGTTCTTATTACACAGCAAATAACAATAGGGTTGGTCTTGCGAGTAAAATAAATTGGACATGTACAACGAATAGTAAATTGTTTGTATCTAATCTTACATTCCTGAATTTGGATACCAATCTAACCTAGTTGAATACAAATACAATATTTTTATACCCTGGAATTGAAGACATGTAAAGCTAAATTCGCATCATATAAAAATTCTTACTATTTTCAGCCTGATGATGCAAATACCTTTTGACGATTACAAAATGAAAATCAAAGTACTATTTTGATATAAAGCTATAAGCATTTATATTCCTACTATCCATGGTAAAACCCTAAAAAACATAAAACATTTACTAAATTAAAAACAATATAGGTTAGGCCAGATTATAACATTAGTTTCATTGATTTAAAGACTTTCTACTTTAAAAAAAAAACCCAAATTTTTTAAACTAGACAATTTAAAGGCCAATGGACACTGAATGGTAAATTTATGCAAATGTTAATTGACAATATTAAAAATGTTATACTTAAAATATTAAAAAGTTAGCAATGCAAACATTCAATATTATTTTATTAGTTTTCAGAGGCTAATTAAAGACATTTAAACTTAAATATTGTTAATAATTGTAGATAAATAAATAAAAATAAATCTAGTACTGTTTTAAAACATTACATAATTAAAGAAAATTTTACTTAAAATTTTGAGTTTCGATGACAGATTATAATATTCTATGACACCAATGATAATTCAATGAATTAAATACAATTACTTAGTGGCTTTTGATTAGGTTCTGTTGAACATATTCGATCTAGACCACGGGGTAAGACGTATAAATCTCCCATAATCCTTTATCAAAATCATTGATCGCTGAGTAATATTAAATACTCAATACATGAGTCATTTACACAACTTTTATTTAACTCTGCCAAAGTTTGTTCTTGTATGCCCTTGTCAATTCAACTAGACAGGACTTTCAACTAATATATTTTTAATTTATGCGTACTTCGTAAACGCTTGTTAGTGAAGGATTTCTTTTTTTGTTTTGATTTTCAGACGAAAGCTAATAATTGAAATATACAAAGTTACCAAATTTTTGTTAGAAAATATATTATACAAACAAACATGTTCATACTTTTACAAATTATTTTCAATATATACAATAGACAAAAAATCCATAAAAGTTAAAAGAAAATCATATCGGAAAGATAAACTGTCCATAGAGGGGGCTACAACCGTAAGGCACTCTATTTAGCCCCATGTACAAGTCTTTCACTTTATTTGGATAAAATATAAATCACAAAATCTAAAAATTAGGGTGAAATATAGAGCTGTTTTAACTTATTTTCAAATAATCCTAACAACAACAACAACACATTAAAAATTTGAGTATTTGGCAAACATTAAATTTTTTCATGGAAGAAATTTCAGAAATAAAACTAAAAACCATCACAAAAGCACGGAATTAATCTGATGTTTCCATCTCGAACGCCTATTTTTTTTAAATGAAATATATTATTCTTATATATTTCATCAACTTATTATTGGTGTTTTAATCTCTGTTATTTGATAGGAAGTAAATAAAAATAATAATAATTAAAAAAACTTTAGCTAGTTATAACTAATTGGTTATAGTAACTAAATGCTAAGATTTTGTTTGTTAAAAATATTTTGATTTTTTTTCTCTTAAATAGAAGAGAATACTTGGAATTTTTTAAATGACCATAAAAACGAGGGACCATATAATTTACATTTATTAATTTTACGATGACGTAAGTGCGAAACCTTTTTTTTAAAAAAAAAAGAAAAATATCATTAAAAAACCAAAAAAAAAAACGTATCTACATTTCTTCAGTCCCCAAAAATACAAGCAAATTATTCTAAAATGAAAAAGTTTGATCAGTTTGATTTTCTTTTTTACCAAGAAACTAACATGTCACAGCCTGAATTATGTAAATTGTATCATGTAATTTTATGCATAAATATTAAGATGTATATAGGGTATGTTAATTTTGTATACGTCATGTGTGTGTAATTTGTGTGTCATGTTTAAATAATTTTGTATAGTCATCTAGTGTAAAGTAGCATTTGATTGACTGTTAAGTGTACGCATTGGCAAACAATTGGGTTACTTAATTCCCTCTCCCCTGCGAAATAGGAAGGATGCAGGAAACGATCGGATTAGTACCTCCTCCGATTGGCACGCTTTACGAAAAATCCAGATGACCGACATATTAAACAGTATTATCAGATCTTTCGTAATTTCATTTCTTCAGATAAAAGGATGATTTAAGAAGTATTAGTTACAGAATTGCTTACAAAATCTTGATCACACTATCTTGGTAACCACGCAGGTCATAGGCCACCAATTGCTTATTTGACCTTGACAGTTACTTATATTTGCAATGTAGAATATAGAGGGCACTGTTTATAAATTATAGCAATTCAAAAAAGATTTTTTAGCATTTTTTTTTTTAAATATATATATATATATATATATTTTTTTAGCTGTAGAACTCCTACTACTATATAGATTTTTGTACACAGGTGTACTGATTGTTAATATATTTTAATATTACTTAAAATATACACACAACAATGGTCACTCATGACATTAATTAAATACTGACTGTCTAATATTAGTTAAAATAACATAGAGGAATGGTAGTAATGGAATTGCTACTTTATATAGAAAGGTGTCTCTACAAATTTAAAGACTATTTTTGGAACTGGATAAAAGGGATATGTGCACATCCTGTGCCACAGAAAAGTAGCAATGGATGTGGTCTTTATATGGAGGGTCTTTAATTCAAGGAAGTTCCTATATATTTCATATTATTTTACCCTAAGTCATAACACAAATTGTCATACACCGAAATAAAACTGTGGATGTTCAAGTAGATGAACTAACCATATCCCAAAGGGGATCATGTTTTCTATTAACGCTAACTCTAATATTTACAATGTTACAAGTTGGTTTTAATATACATTTCAAGTTTTCAAGTATTGCAACTCTTGTATCACAAGAGCAATGCAATCATATCACGCTGTAGTGGTTCCATTTCAACTTGAAAAAAAAAATATTACATGGACATATTTCATATTTTCTTAAAGTTTAACAATTCCGAGTCTTTTGTAGAGGGGAGAGGGTGTTCATTGTCATTCTGACTTGATGTTTATAAAAAAAAATGTTTTTAAGCAATAGGGCACAACTACAGGGCCAGTACTGCATATGCAAAAATCATAACAAACAAGTGCTTGGAAATGCACGTTTGTCTGTTTACAAACTATAGACACATCCATATACACACACATATACGTACACCATGACGATCGCAAAAATACTTATAAAATTAATAGGAGCCAAAAACGAACTGACGTTCGCAGGTCCAGCTCTATGGTGTAATGGTTAGAACTCTCTACATCACTCTCGCTATTACACTGTGTACAGTCGTACTTTATGTCTAACTGTTATTAAGTCGGTATGCATGGTCTTTTTTAAATTGTTTCAATGATATGTTTTTACCTTTTATAGTTTCAGTTCTCATTATATGGCAATGAGGAGAAACCAAATGTTTGTAAATACATAGTAAGTAAATAAATAGGTTGAGAGCGTGAACTTTATATTTGTGGTCAGTTACCCTCTCCACCAAACCACATCAAAGGTCAATCTGACTGAACCTATGACACAACGTTTAACAGCTCACATCCACCAAGCTACTGATCCTGTCTGCTGAGAAACTTCCTAGCACATGATGTAATATGACCATTCTAAAAAGAGATAATAAACCAAGCATCTTACCTTGACCATAATCTGGATAGGATTGACCTCCACTCCTTGACCTCTGACCATCATATCTTGGTGCTTGACCCATCAATGACTTGGGAGGAGGAATGGATGAGTAATGACTAGAAAATAATGAATAAGGTAAATTTATTTTGTCCTTATGATTCAAAAGTTCAGTTTATCAACATTGCACAATATAAAATAAAATTTATCATTGTTAAAATAATTATGAAATTATAGTAAAGACCTAATAAGTACCACTGCGCTTATAACATTTTTGGGAAGTTTTAGTGTGGCACCCATTCTAGAAAGGCTCTTAAATTGCGCTTACTACAAGTTAATGACGTGTTCCAATTGTGCTATCTGTTTTACAAGAGGTGGCTCCAGCGGCGAAAGCTGGCCCTCTTGTCGAAAAAAAAAAAAAAAAAGATTCCAATTCTTGAAGTTATTTTTAATATTAGCAGAATCAAAAATCAATTAAAAAACCCTTTGAAAGCCCTAAATTTAACAGTCATAATTTTTAATGGATTCACCCACAGGACTACTTCCAGATGATTTTGAGCACTTACACCCACTATGCTCCCACTGAGGGACATCCCCCCGGCGGGGACATCGGACCACCCCAGGGTTGTACATAGGCTTTTTCTGCACTAGTATAAAATAGTGAAAAAAATTATGTTTGGTGTGGTGCTTATATCGATAGCGGCGCTTATTGCATCATTTACGTAATGGACCAAAACAAATGAAAGAACAAAGAAATAATGATAATTAGGTCTATGATAGTTATTTATAACAATGAAAACAGTCTTATTGAAAACAGTAATGATAAAAGATGATGATAACCATATTAGTAGTTATAACAACATGATCAAAAAGGAACTTACTTCACCATCCTATGCCCAGCGTTGCCTAGACTAGCACGCGGAAAATTGGACGAAAATCCAATCCTAGGCCGCCATTGTTGATTACCACTCTTTGTCTTTTCAAAATCCTCAGGCTTAAGAACCTTGTCTGGTAGTCTTAAATATACAAGGTTTTATATGTGATGGCTCTGTACTACTACTACTACTACTACTACAGTAGGTCTTTTAAGACAGTGTATGTTAAAAAGTGATACATTTTTTTCCAGTCTATTTTTCAAGAAAATGAAGAGCATTTCTTCCAGCCAAGTCAAGACTGTACCATGAAGATGTTTATGTACATGTTGTTCCTTTTCTGTGTTCCTCTAATTTTGAAAGTAACTTTACAATGTGAGACAATGTTTACAAATTCTCTACTACCTGGAACAATATTGGACTTATTAATTAACACAAGGAAACACACTAAGATGCTGGATTGTTCCTACAGTGTAGCAATAAACTAGCAAAAAAAAAGCACAGGTATAACATGTGATCAGATACACCTTGAAAACTTAATATAAAATATAAAAATGAAATAACTGTTAATTTGCAACAGCTATAATAGCAATCATTTTAGATATTACTGGTATTTTGCAATGTACCTATTTGATATATAGGATTTTAAACCATGTGCCATTTCTGCTAGTTATGCTATAATAACAATAGCAATTTTCTATTAAAAATGGACTTGCTTTAATATTGCTGTTTGATGTAGGATTGTAAACCCCCTGCTATAGCCAATAGTGATTTCTCTAACTCTAAATAGACAGTAAGAGTTTTCTATTCTAAGGAAGCCACGTAAAGTTGGACCAATTTCAGTTTCACTTTGAGCAATCGTAGAAACTAGTCAGACGCAGAAGTTAAACAAACACAGTGACTTCGCCCACCTTTCAACAATCCACCAATATATTAAATTTTTTTTTTTATTCCAGCAATACAGTTCCACAAACCATAGATTTTATCAGATTAACGATGTGTTTAACGCCCATTTTGATCGATAAAATTCTGATTAGAGTAGACTACGATGGAAATTGATCATATGCTACTATTAGATCTATGTAAAGATGCTGGAAGAATAATTTTATAATTACATCACCATGATCAATGGTGGCTTATCAAAATAATATTTAAGAAATATGTTATAATACAGGCTTCTAATTCCTACATGCCTCTTTGAACTAGTTCTAGCATAAATATATAACATAATGAATAATTAATGTAAAGCCTAGAAGTAAACTGATGGTGAAATTGGATTGGATTGGATCTAGCCCACGAAAGGATAGCCACGAAAGTCTAGAAGAAGACTTATTTCCAGTGGGGGTCCTTCTGGTGGTGATTGGGCAGTACACCGGGAGACAATCCCCTATTTTTTTCCGAAGCGTGTACTGCGTTCTTTAACGTAAAAATGGGCCATAAATGCACACGGGACCAACGGCTTAAACGTCTCATCCGAAAGACGGTGCACTATTGTAAATTGTATTCCAGCCCTCCAGCTGAAACACAAGGAAAAGCAGCGATGGAAATTGAACCAGGGACCTAGAGAACTCTACAGTTCAGCGCACAAACAGTGGCTACCACCAGATTAGCCAAGAGTTAAGCTGCTCTCTCTCTCTCTCTCTCTCTGAATAAGGCAACCTTTGTGCATACAGATTTGGAACAAAACTCAGAATTACAGCAAATCTAAAAAAAAAAAAAAAACATCCGGAAAATAAACCTTTCCTGCTAATTGCACATTTTTTTTTTACTACTGTTTGGTGAATTGTCTCTCTAAAGTCAGCTGATTCTGCTGTTACTACGTGCAGCCAAATCCCCATTAGATGCACTATGAAAGCTCATTAAATCAGGTCTACCGGAAGTGGTTTCTTCCAACATGGGACCACGGGAATTAAAAGTGATCAAGCTTGACGTTATTTGGGACACACCCATCCTCCGAATAAGGCATGCACTGTTTGTCGATCCAGCCAACTGCTTCCTTTCTTATGCAAATCTAACAGACAAAGGACATGTTTTGTCTACAACTCCACCCACTTACTAACCTCATCGTTCAAAGGATAATCTATATTAAGTATAGTTATTCTGATTATGTAAATATTGTATGATTATTATTATTATGTGCATTTGACTTAATTTAAATTATATAATAAAATAACAACAATGGAAAAATCAAACATGTATATGGCATGCAATTTCAATCAAATGTTTAAAGCTCTGTCGAGTGTATCAATTTTTCTTTGACAAACAACTGCTGAATGCCCATATATAGTCATGATGTGATGTCACCATAAGCATATTTGGACATGTCCCATGCTTTTGTCAAATACAATTTGATAGTTGGGGCAGGGCTTTAAAATGAATTTAAAAGAAGATTATTAAACTTTGTAAATGGAATAAGAACAAATGCGAAAACATGGGAATAAACAATGTAAATAAACAGGCATAAGGAACATAGTTAATTTGAAACAGATAACATTATTAGCATTTAACATTTATGAAAAGAAAAGTGATATTTTATTGCAAGTTTATATATATTTATTTTGTTGTTCTTATGTAACTGACTATTCAGCATACAGGAGCTAGGCCACAGCTGTGTTAATATGCTGTATTTTGCCTGCCAATTACTTTTTACTTCACTTTTCTTTCCATGTCTTTTATATTCTATTTTTTTTAAAAACGTGTATCTGTTAAAGTTAAAGATATATTGTATGTGTACAACTAATAATCTGAGCAATAACATTTTATCGGCAATTAAAAGATATATAAATAATACATATATTTTATTCTCATATTGGTAATAAATTACTCATAAAGTGTTATAAAAAGTTTGTAAACCAATAAAAAAAAAATAGTTTCAATCTGTGCCTAAGGCGTGTTTCCATAAAATTTCTACGCATTACCAATGACATCGGTGATTGGTCAATCAAATTGGGCAGCCGGGGATAGCTACACAGTGTAACGATTGCAGTAAAAACTCTGTAGCGACAGTAAAGCCAAAGGATAATCTATATTAAGTATAGTTATTCTGATTATGTAAATATTGTATGATTATTATTATTATGTGCATTTGACTTAATTTAAATTATATAATAAAATAACAACAATGGAAAAATCAAACATGTATATGGCGTGCAATTTCAATCAAACGTTTAAAGCTCTGTCGAGTGTATCAATTTTTCTTTGACAAACAACTGCTGAATGCCCATATATAGTCATGATGTGATGTCACCATAAGCATATTTGGACATGTCCCATGCTTTTGGCAAATACAATTTGATAGTTGGGGCAGGGCTTTAAAATGAATTTAAAAGAAGATTATTAAACTTTGTAAATGGAATAAGAACAAATGCGAAAACATGGGAATAAACAATGTAAATAAACAGGCATAAGGAACATAGTTAATTTGAAACAGATAACATTATTAGCATTTAACATTTATGAAAAGAAAAGTGATATTTTATTGCAAGTTTATATATATTTATTTTGTTGTTCTTATGTAACTGACTATTCAGCATACAGGAGCTAGGCCACAGCTGTGTTAATATGCTGTATTTTGCCTGCCAATTACTTTTTACTTCACTTTTCTTTCCATGTCTTTTCTATTCTATTTTTCTTTTTTAAAAGTGTATCTGTTAAAGTTAAAGATATATTGTATGTGTACAACTAATAATCTGAGCAATAACATTTTATCGGCAATTAAAAGATATATAAATAATACCTATATCTTATTTTGATATTGGTAATAAATTTAAGAAGTGTTATAGAAAGTTTGTAAACCAAGAAAAAAAAATAGTTTCAATCTGTGCCTAAGGCGTGTTTCCATAAAATTGCTACGCATTATCGACGACATCGGTGATTGGTCAATCAAATTGGGCAGCTTCCCCAATTACGTCGGGGACAGCTACACAGTGTAACAATTGCAGTAAAAACACTGTAGCGTCAGTAATGCAACTTTATGGAAGAACCACGCTGTATAGAAACATGATAACTTATTTGATGTTTTACATGGACAATTCAATGTTTAATTGATTTGTAGTATACATAAGCTTGGTGGTTAAAGGGCAACTCAGACAGCGTCGGCCGACGCAGCCCGACCCGATTTATCGTCGGGGACAGTCTTAAGCCGTCGTGAGAAATATTAAACATGTTTAATATTCTACTACGCGACTACCCCCGACGCACACCATCGCGTCTGCGTTCAACTCACACAGACCCGACGCGACAACAAATCGCGTCGGGCTGCGTCGGCCGACGCTGTCTGAGTTGGCCTTAAGCAGCCTGCCTTCCACTCCCAGGGTCCTGGGTGCAAATCCTGTTACAGCACAGGACTTACTTCCTAAGCCTTGTAATGAGACTTATTATATAAAGCATCACATCATTTCATGTTATTTAAGAGGGCCCCTGAATATGAGCTAACCTACTGAGATAAACTGGATCACATTTATAGACATGGTTTTAAAAAGTTAAGGGATTTCAATACCTCATACATCCTTAGTTGGCAAGGAAATTATATTTCATGGCTATAATTTTCAAATGAAACCGAAATACTCACTTAAATATGCCAAGTAAGTAATTATTCGCTCAAGATTATTAGTTCCACACAAACAATAAATCTTAGAGGTTATATATCTTATAAAACTTAGGTTTAAGAAATCCCCACATTATCAAGTTATATTATTTTCCATATATGGTATGGCATCACCAAGCCCATATAAGGCCAAATCATATTTATTTGTCTCATAAAACTTGATAAGGTGAACAGCACATTATAACTGAGTATCCACTTACTTGGCTCCTGGAAGCATATTACATTTAAACAGGTAATCCTTTCCATAATCTGGATCTTTGTATGCACAGCTGTCAATAAAAACATCAAAAAAGTTATAACATCATGATCATCATTACTATCAATTGTTGAAAGCCTACTGAAGGCCTGTCTCTTATACACATCTAGATGTGTATAAGAGACAGGATATATTTCTAGATGTGTATAAGAGACAGGATCTAATCACCTCTTTGAAACACCCTTTTTTTTCAGATCTTTAGACTTGAGACATCACTTATTCCTAGAATTGTTGGGCTATTAAATAAGAACCGTTAAGACTTTCACTCGCTGCCCCAACGGTTGTCGGCCGATGCAATTCTATGAAGAACGCAATGCGACGACGCGCGTGCAAGGGATTGTTTTTAATGACGATCCGTTCAGACTGCCACCTGCAATCAGCAGACGGCATCACGTCGTCCGTTCTCACAGTGAGTGGAGTTAGATTTGTCATGCGACGATCGTACGACAGTCGTACAAGGCAGAGATTGCCCGGCACTATCTCATGTTCTGGGTGGTACATAAATTTGACTTTTATTGTATATTTCTCTTTTCTAAATTTAATTGTAATTGAATTTTGAATATGTAATCGTAATTGCTAGATAATATTTGAATGTTAGTGTGTCATTCGTTTATTGTTTTTATATTGTAAATTCAGTAATTTCAGTCTTGTACTGCTGACTGTTTTTTATGTTTTATACCTCAAAAGAAAATTTTTTTAAATAAAAAAATAATGAGGTACATTATACAATGGTTTATATATCAGGCCAATGAAGCTGGAAACCAAAAGGAAAGTGGGCATAACACCACGTGTGATTAATTATGTGTGCGCCATTTGTTTAGGGGAATGAGTACTTAGCCCATCGTACTAAGCCTTCAGTTTGGCCAGTTCCTTTTTTTACGTCCCTCTCTAGCATAATTCAACCAGGTATAATAACAAAAGCAAAATGCACAGGAAAGTTTTGAACCATGGACTTCAAAATTGAGAGAATGAAACACAACCGCTCTATCAACTATTCCAACCCGGGAACATTGTATTGAATTGAATTTGCACCACAGCTAGCTCTGATGGCACGTTGTATAAGTGCCTCTGAGGCATTCGCTGAAACTTGTGCTGATTCTTGCGAAAGTATGTCATCAGATGAGGTAAGATGTATAATTTATGATTTACAAAATGTAATAAATCTTTAGATGGTGATGTTATTTTAGCTAGGCCTAGACTAGCCTAGTGGTGCCATGTATGGTAGCGTTGGTTGATGTCTGCTTCAGGCGTCAGTGTTTGTTCACATTGAGCATAGCGGTTTTGATTTCCTTTTACAAAATCGCAATTATCTCAGCTTTGATGTGTGAAATTGAGTAAATCTCCAAAAGTGAGTCATTTTAATTTTACTATTACGGGTCACAGATTGTGATTAGAATAAAGTGTTTGGTACCTTTGTAAAGCTAAGATGTTTGTAGTTCTTGTAGTATTTATTACATCTGATCTGATCAAACACACACTCTCAAAAAAATGTTAAAATTTTCTAAAAAGTCTGGCGGTGGCTGATCCTATTTTTCCAAATCCCTGCCGGTCAAAGTGTTAATAAAACGTCTGGCAAGTCTAAAAAAAAATACAGACATAATATAAAGCCTACCTCATGACTTTGCATCCTTTAATGTCAGGTAACATAGGAAGTGGTGATTGCTTGGTGCTGGAATAGAATCAATTAAATAAAAGATTATTATAGTTAAAAGTTTATTATTGATGATATTATTACAACAGTATATAAAGGGGGTGGAGACACACATAACTTTCATGGTAGCATAAAAATTATTAATAATGGTTTGTAATTAATACATAATTCTACTTTATAATAAATATCTGAATCTAAATATATTGTTCTGTGAATATTTGCATATTTACTCTTTTACTTTGCAGAGAATATTCGATTTAAATTGAACCAATAAATGCTGGGAGTCCTTTATATTGAATATTTGTAAAGTAATGTAATGTATTCTATGTATACTTGTGTCTATAGGTATTTACATACATTTATTATATATACATTTACAGTTTTACTTTGTAGTGTACACCAAAGAATATTTGATTTTATATTGGACCAATAAATGCTGACTGAGTTTGAGGTTAATACATATAGCTCACAAAATACTGGAAGTGGTTTTTCTTATCTACTGGATGAGAATTACTACAGATTACAGTTAAGTCAGGAATGACATCAGCATCAAGAAGGAAAAAAAGAGGCAAAATGAGATTAAGGTATGCTTTACAGTTTATAGTTTGGATGATTAATTATCAAGAACAGAGGCAAAGACATTACCCTCCATCATGAGTCGGATCAGATTCGGTTGGGGGGGGGGCACATTCCCCCATCCTGCTTTGCCACTAAATATCAAAATTTCAATGCATGTATTTAAATTAGAGCTACTCACTTATCTATTCTAAATATGTTGTGCCCCAAACCCCCCACCCCCCATTTTTGGAAAGTTCCGAATCTGCCCCTGATAAATTGTTAGGCTCAAGCCTTAAAGCCGGTCAAACTGTGCTATTGTTGTTGTCGCTTATCTATTCTAAATATGTTGTGCCCCAAACCCCCCACCCCCAATTTTTGGAAAGTTCCGAATCTGCCCCTGATAAATTGTTAGGCTCAAGCCTTAAAGCCGGTCAAACTGTGCTATTGTTGTTGTCGGCCGACACAATTCCATGGTAAACACAACATTGATACGGCATGTGACATTTTTTAATGACAATCCACTCAGATTTCACCGACAATCAGCAAAAGACTAGCGTTGACATGTGCTCGCAAAGAGCAGAGACAGCTTCATCAGTCAGCCACTGCATGACCGTTAGCAGCCTTATTGTGTGCTCCCCTTAATGCGTGGCTTTTCTGAGAAATTGTCCAAGACTTACCCATCAGATTGGACAGCATACTTATCACACCAGATTTCCCCTGCCATCCCTTGGCTAAGCTCTGTGCTTACGGTGACATTCTAGAACAAAAGCATAATAACCTGACTGAAAAAATCTGCCTCGCCAATTAACACAAGTTCAAATGATAATGTTAGTTTTTTGATACATCCTTTAATGTCTGTCACCAAATTTATCGAAAGTTAATAAAATATATAATTGTTTAAAATAAGCAGGTTTTGAACTAATTTTTGGGCATTTGTTTTACTTGATTTTCTGGGTGGCAATATATATTATGGCATGTATGAGGTTTGCCAAATTTTGTATTTTATTTCATTTTATATATTATATTTTAACCGAAATATGTTTTTGAAATTAAAAGCTGCAGTTATATTTATCTGCTGTCTAATACCCTTTGTTTTAAATCATCATTTTGGCAAACTGATTTTTGACTTACAAAGAGAAGGTCTCTCATTGTCAGAGTTAAGCAATTATAAAATAACATTAAAAAGATGCAAGCAAGCTGAAAGGGACTTCCTTAGAACTGTCAAGTTTATCCCACATTTTATATCTACATTTGACAGATTATACTCTGATCAGAACATATTATTATGAATAATTTCCTTTTTTTCTGTTATGCACTGAAGTGCACTTCTATTCAGCATGTAGGGTGTAGTTTGTGTTGCTATAACTCACATCTTCGAGAGGTTTTCCTCCTTCATAGATGCCTTCAATAAATGAATACAGCGGATGATCTTTACCAACAAATAGTCTATCTGGTCCTAGGCTGTTCCTCATCTCTGTTAATAAAATAATTAAATTATTTATTATAAAAAATATAGATATGTATACAGAATTTTCTATAGGGAGCTAAGAGAGGAGACACAAGCACCCAGACAAGGTTTCTGTCTCCCATGTGCTCTAAACTAGAAATGTGCAGAGGTTTTATATAACACTGTTTAATTTAGGGTATGGTCATACAGGTGTGACTATCATTAAACTGACTATGTGACAAAGCCGGACATATTCCACAAGTAAAACATAGCTGTTTAACAGAATTTTGCCACATTCCATAAGTAAAACATAGCTGTTTAATAGCACTTTGACACTCGTCTCTACACTAGAGCGTTAAAAAGAGTTCTAAGTGAATTCTAACTCTACTATAGTATAGTTAAAGGCATGTAAAAATCTAATAGTCTTTACATTTCACGATAGTCACAAGATAAAGATTTCTTTGCTTACTTTCTTCTTCTGCGAGATTTGGATAAACCTCTCCCAGAGTTTCCAACAATCGACCCTCATCGACAAATGGTAGCAATGCAACACCTAAACAGAGTAAAAATATAATAGAATTACAAAAATTTAAAAAAAAATGCACCAACAATGATGATATTTTTACCCTCAACAACCCAGTGTTTGTATTGCTAATGGACACTTGCTGTACCACAGTTCTTGGGTATAGTCCCAGCATTTTTGAATATTTTTCATGCAAAATTCTCTATCTTGGTATGATTCCCCATAGGTTGGAGTTAAGAATATAAATTTCATCAAATTGATACCTAGGCACAATTTCTGGGCCATGAAATTTTATGGCAAGTATCTTTGTCAGCAACAAGCCTTTTGTACATAGTAATGATTATCAAATACTTTGTATTTCTATATCATTACCTTGCCATGCATACTTTTTACCATTCAGATCAATTTTGAAGTCATCAGGATAAAAGTCAATGATAGGCGAGTCCTGCAGAAGAAGGGAAATAAGTTAATATAATATAATATAATTAAATTCTGTAATTGCATATCTGATGTCATATATTTGAATGGTACAAATGTATTTGATTCAAAACAAGAATGACGATTTAAAAATGAAACCTGCAAAAAGATAATATAAAATAGGGTTTTTAACTGTGGAATCAGTCTTCATGTTTATCCTTACTATTATATTGTTTGAACATTAATACAATAATTAATGTAACTTTCCTTCTTTGACCATTACAAAATAAATTTTCTGTCGAATTCAACTTCTGTTCTTATACTTATTAATTCTAAACAGAGTACAGTACAAAACAGTAGGACAAGCATTGAAAATAAAGTTCTTTTGAAATTCAACAACCAAGACAATCAATGGCCAAAACAACAATATGATAAAAATATGTCCAAATTATAAAGCCTTTTTTTTTTTCTTACAATACCACTCATCAAGGACCTCCATGTAGTTGGGAGGAAGTTGCCACTAGCAGCTGGGAACACACTCATCAGCTGCTCCAGGGGCTTAAACTGAAAGAAAGTTAAAAAGACAGACATTTTATAAAACCATACTTGTGTTAGAATCAGTCTCAGTTAAAGATGTATTTTCCCCTGATAATGACAAAAAATCATTAAAAAAAATTAATTTTTAAATTAACATGGTCATATTGCAGTAACATACAAATTATTAACTTGTGTACCCTGATATTTATTTTGGGTAAATTATAATAAAAAATAATATAACACTTTCAGTGACTAAAAGTGCTTCTATCACTTTCCGCTGTAAAATAATGTGTAAACATTTTTTACATACACTAATTTCTATGTTCAAGTTGATAATTTTTATGTTACTTCAAAATAAATATAATAATAATGACTTTTATGAATTTTTTGGTATTTTGCATAGGACAATACATCTTGAATTGTAAATAATCAATCAGTGTAAAATAACATGGGATGTTATAGACAGCGGAAGATTTTAGAAGAGATTTTCTGACAAGGAGGTAGGATTAGGATGTTCCTTGCGCATACGCATAGATGAGCCATGTACCTTTCCGGATTATCAATCAAACTAAAGCCGGGCACACACAACGTCATTCGACGTTCGTCCTCAACTCTATCTGAGAGCGCTAGACGACGCAACGCTGTCTGCTGTCAGTGGCAGTCCCAACAGATCATCATTAAAAACTATCCATTGCGCGTGCGCGTCGTGGCGTTGTACATAGAACTGCGCCAGCCAACGACCGTCGGGCTAAGCAAGTGCCAGTCTTTACATCACCCCAATCAGATCAAGGCCAGGGATACGCTCGTGTTTTACAATCGCATGTGTTGTCCAACAATGCATGTGTTTACGTACATCTACGTTTTGAGGCACCTGAGAAACTATTTTCAAGCGGTGGGGCTTAGTGGAAAGGTCGATTGATATGTCATCCTAGGTCAGATTTTATTTTAAAAATTTGCATAATTTAATTCACATGTTAATAACTCAGTATGTTAAGGGTTGAAATATTTTGAATTTGGAGTTACTATAGAGTGAACATTATATAGTTTGTTATATTTTATATATCGTATTATTTAATTACTGTTTGCTGGATTACTTACTGGCTTCGTTCCTTTGGGAAACTTCGTACTGACGGTTTTATCGATGTCGACGAAGTCCGAGGCGAACGGAGCATAGTGATAGGGGAAGTACCAATCCCACGATGCACATCCTTGGTAGTAGTACTGTAAGACCCAGCAAAGACCTAATGCATATGCTGCACCCTGAAAGAGCATATATAAACATTTCATGTTAGGTTGAGTGAGCGCATATTGTTTTGAGAATTCACATGGTTATTTAAACATCATTTAATCCTTGTCAACAACAAAAAAAGAGGCTGGTGTGTATAATAACCATAGAAAATATAATTCTCCATAGTATACAATGAATAATAATACAAAGTGTGAAAAAAAAAACTAATACAACATATTTCAGTAACAAAAAAGTTTTTAAAACCATACTAATATATCAAAAACAAGAAATATGAGGCATGTCATCCCTAAAACAGCATCAGTGATAAAAAAATGAAAATTGATTTTTTAATATAATCATATTCTCAACACCGTAAGCTTTAAAAAAAAATGATGGGACATTTACTGGAACCGACTTGCTATTGCCAATGTTATGAGTAAAGGTATTACAACTTCTCTGTACTAAAGTATACAACACTGCCACATCCTAATGCTAAGTACTCAGTTTAACTGATTAGCGAATGTAATGCTGGTTTTGGAATGGCAAACATAAACCTTAAGACCCTTTGATAGTTCTACTATAAATAAAGCATAAAGTGGACATTTCCTTAGATTTTCTTTCCGCTTATGAGATACTTTTCTGAATGTTTTGCATAATATTTATTTAATAGATAAATCATAAGTATTAAACTTGGTATAGACCAATACCTTTAACATTATTATTATGATGATGATAAATAATTTTTAGGATTCGAAAACAAGACAATCCCAGTAATGTTTGGGTGCTCTACCAACTGAGCTATGAGAGCAAGCTTGTATATTATCTTGGATTTTCTCAGTACCAGAAAAATAAATACACATTCCAAGATGGTCTACATAAATAACCTACCACTTTGTGTCGGAACTCATGATCATCTGGTTGTACATCAAACTTTCCCTGGTAGTAACGCTCTCTCCAACCATCTTCCCATAACCTGGGTTAAATATAGAAAAGTGTTAAATAAATTAATTAATTTAATTAAACATAAATGAATAAGGAGGGTAAATATGGAATTAACTTCCTTTTTCAAGTCAAAGGGCACCATCAATTCAACTATTCAAAAAGAAATATAAAGTATATTATAATGAAATATTAAAATTAAGTGATGGATAAGTTTGTTTGTTAAGTTTTTGAATTCATTTGGTTAGTTTTCTTTTGATTGTTTCTTATTCTGTATTTAATATTTTGGACAACAATGTTATTTTTGTAATGAAAAAAAAAAAAACAAAAGAAAATGAGAGATTTCACAACTTGAGAAAGAAATGCCTTCAACTTACTTAACAGCATCATTCTGATCTTGTTCAGCATCTTCTTTTATCATGTCCTCCACCGTCCTTTTGGTGCCTCTTCTAGGTGGTTCTGCCTTTTTCTCATCATTACCTCCATTCAGCTGTGATCGCAGGGCATCTGCAGCATTCTATGGAGAACAAAATGAAATGATATATCTAGAATTCTGGAAACTATTCCATTAAAAAAAATCTTGAATGCTATGAAGTATTTTAGTAAAAATTGTTAGAGATGTCTATGTCTGACCATATAAATTATCCATATTTAAATTTGTTACATTGAATATTGTAAGCTCAGATAAGATAGTATAATACATACTTCAAGTATCAAAATGCATGTGAATATTGTAAGGTTATAGCTTGCAATTTAATATTAAATTAACAGAGTATTTTCCTTGTAAATTAAAAATTAATAAGTTCTTAAATGTCTTTGCAAAACTGTTAAATTAGCTGAAAATCAATTTGTAGATTTTTAAACTTAGTAACAAAAAAAAAATTGTTTTGATCTCTGTCTTATGAAAAGTTTAAGCCTTGTATATAATTTTGATTTTTAATTCAAAAATAATATTTGAATTTTAAACAGGTGTTGAAAGCTGGGTACTAACTGTGCACGACAGTTGATGTGATTTTATAAAGAATGCAACGCGGAGACTTTACGGAACGCACTGCGGATCGTTTTTAATGACAATGACAATCAGTAGACAGTGTCGCGTCGTCTACCGTTCACAGTGACCGGAGTTGGAATTCATCATGCGACGGTTGTACGACTGTCTTACAACGGAATGAGAACCCGGCTTAAGATATCCCTACACACAATATACCATTAATGTTAAGTTGTTGCCTGTCAGAACAAGGCCAGAAATACAAGTCGAGTGGCCGAGCGGTAAGGCAGGGGCGCCGCTAGCTACAGCCTTAACATCAGCGCTGGTTCCAGCCGCTCCTCGCTCATGGTTCGGTTGGTAGAACCAAGTCTTCTCGGATAAAGACTTAAAATGGAGGTCCAGTGTATACATCTGGCTCGTATGCACTTTAAAGAACCAATTGCATTTTTCAGAAAAGTTGGGGGTTACCACGATGTTATGGTTCATTTCAGCCCCTGTTTAACTAGCATCTCTTTACGGCTGCTAGGTATTCATGGACCACACCCATACGCAATTCAGCACAATGATGCTGCAAGTTATGGGTTATTCTCCTACCTTTAACTTTACAAGCGTATCTTACAAACACATGAGTTGTCCCACAAACACACGTTTACATATGTTTATGCCATTGTTTTGTAGGATCTTAACAACAATATTCAAGGAGCGGGGCTGAGCGGAAAGGTCTACTGCCTTAAATAAATATTAACAATAAAAATAGCAATAATTGTACCTTGTTAGCTTGGTTTCTGCCATCTTGTACTGCATCCCTTATGTCCTTTGCACTGTGTGCTTCACCTCTTTGCCCAATAGGCTAACAAAGAAAAACATTTATATATTATTTTTGATGTCACTTAAATCAAGTCAAGCTGTATTTTGGTGGGTAAGGTGCTTGTCTTCCAATCGGCGGGTCTTCTCAACGCGACATAGTGGCAGAAAAAATAGAACCTATCATGTTCTTTAATGTGATCCACACTGAACGTGATGGACGACGTGACAGAATGACGTGTTGCGCGGCATAGCATAATTTTCTGAAAAAAATTGCATAGCATAAATGTTTAAAAACTGTCGCACAACAAAAAATATTCTGACCAATCACCGACTCCGATCATCATTCTCTGAGCATGTAGACTAGACAGCAGAACAAGCCACAAAAAGTTGCTTGTGTATACAGCTGTTGCTGTGTCCTGTGTAAATAGGTTGTACTACACAACAGAATATTCTGCCAATGTCACTTGCAGTCTTTAGTCACATGATTTGTTTCTCATGGCCACAACATTCCACTCCTTAAGTATCATATTAATCTTCCTATTTCCATCCGAAATGCTTGTAGTACTGAAGTCTTCAAAAAACTCTTAAAAGCTCACTTATTTCCTAAATAATCCTCTTCCTACAATAAACCTTTTCTAAGCGCCTTGTATCCTTTGGCAAAAGGCGCTATATAAATTTCAATATTATTATTATTACTATTATTATTATTACTATTATTATTATTACTATTATTATTATTATTATTATTATATTAAGACGTTAACTAGAGATCTTTGTCTTGTGAAAGGGATTGTCGCTAACAAAGTCATTAGATTATTACTGGTATCATTGACTTTTTTTTGTTTAAAATAAATAGCAACAAAAAAAACAAGGAGTTTTTGTTAGTACTTACTGTTGGGGCTAAAAATCCAGATGGTACAAACTGCGGTGCATCAGCCTATAGATAGAGAGAACATTACAACATTATTCAAATTCTTATTATTTGCTATGAAAAGGTTGGTTTCCATACAATCGCTACACTGTCGCGACAGCGTTTTCACTGCAATCGTTGCACCGCGTAGCATGTCCCCGATGCAATCAAGAATGCTCCTTGATTCAACTGACCAATCAGCATCATCAAGGGAGTCGGCAACAGCGTGTAGCGATTTTTTTGGAAACCAGGCTAAAGCTATCCTGGGTCATTAAGAATAGGATTTCTGCGACACGACACGACGCTAGAACGGAATCACTCATGCATGACCGTCCTACCTGGCGTCCTACATTCTCTGCATACGTAAATTTGGCCAAATTGCGTTCCAGAATCTACTCGGCGAGGTGACGTTAACGTTCACGCATATGACTTTTAGTGACGTCATTACGTTCTACGTCCTACCGTCTTCATGCAATCGCAAGCTCCCTATTACCTAATATTCACAATGACGATCCCAGCAGAAAATACACCAACCAGAAGATGGTTTATCCAGGTAATTATTCATCAAAAATAATACAAGAATAATGGTACATAAGTACAGAGTGATTGAGAAAATATAAAAAAAAAAAAAAAAAAAAAAAAAAAATTGCAAATTATATTAACAACCAAAAAAAAAAAAAAAAAAAAAAAAAAAAAAAATTATCAAAGAAACTTTTAAAAAATAAATAAAATTAACATTATCATTATAAAATTTCTTAATTTCCATAACAGAAATCAACACAGAAAATTATTTTATCCTAAATATTGTTGAGCTAAATGAAATTGTATTATTTTCAATGATTTTTAACTCACCCTGTAATATCATTTGTACACGGCTTAAATTTACAATTCCATTCTCTGTCAGATACCCCTTGGAAATAAAAAAATATTCTCAAATCAATTATAATCAGTGACAAGATAAAAAAAAAATTAGAAACTTGTACTTTTCATGTCATAAAATATCTTATACAAAAATAACATTATAACAACTATAGTATATAACAATATATTTAACTTAACTGATGGATTTGTTTGCAATTTACTTATTTAATTTATTAATTTAGCAGTATATATAATATTAAGTATTTTGCAAGCTTTTAACGTAAGCAGTTAAAGCTGATGATAGTATTGCCTTTTAAAATGGCTTGTTAATACAAAATTGGAACAATAGTGGTAAAAAAATCCACAGAGAAATAATAAAGAAATTTATTAACAACTTACATTTGTTTTGTACACAGCTTTCTTATACAGTCTGATTAGTCGATCAATAGCACCTTCCCTAGAAAAGCAAAGAAAGAGATTCAACAATGAATTCACTCGTCATTTAAGCGAGGACCCAGAATAGAAAAATTTATTTGATACATACAAATGAATATTCTAAAGCTACGAACCCACTTGTCCAGTTGTGATTGTAAAAGTGGTTAATGTAAGGGCGACATGTTTTTTATTTTGAATTTGTATACTGTAAATTCAAGATGTAAAAGTGTGTTATCTAAAGATAGGCCTACAGTAAATTGTCTCATGATACAGTATATGGTTTCAAATAGGGGTTTAGCCAAAAAAAAAAAAAAAACGGTACATGGTTTCAAATATGGGTTTAGCCAAAAAAAAAAAAACGAAATAGGCCATCCAAAATGTAAGCCAGTGGGCGTGGCACTGAGCCGATGGGCGGACCACGTCCATCGAATATTGGTACGAAAACAATGTTCTTTCAATCAATAAATGTTCTTTTTATCAAACGTAAATATGATTTAGCTTTGAAGAATATAAAGAATTTGCTAAAGGTAGACCAGGCCCAATTAGGCTATGCCGAGCTGAATAGGACAAGCCGTCCAAGCCGTCACGATAAAAGTGGCCATCCTAAATAATTGTAGGCCGTCCAAAAGACGTCCGGACAGCTTGCTGGCTAAGCCTATGGTTTCAACATACATTATATGGATTTAAGATACAGTCAAGATACCGTATTTATGGATTAAATTTTATGGTGATGACATGTTTGAGGACATTTGTTACCGTAACCCAAGTAAAACAAAAAAAATAGTCTTGTCATTTACAATCAGTTAAATTTACATTATTTTTTAGTAATTTAAGCATTCATGTTCCTGATTGTGATTGGTTGGTCAGTGCCATTATTTAATATGATCAGATTATATTCTCAATAATTTAAATGACGGCAAAGCAACTGCAGCCATCTTTATAGATTTGAAAAAGGCCTTTGACACAATTGATCACAAACTTCCTCATTTCAAAACTTAATGACTGTGGAATTCAGAAATCTGCCTTAAATGGTTCATTTCTTACCTTAATAATAGGTCTCAAATTGTTCAAATTAATTCAACCCTATCTGATCCAATGAAAATTAACATTGGTATTCCCCAAGGGTCCATTTTAGGCCCATTGTTGTTTATTATCTATGATAATTCCCTACCGAATGTCACTCAAAGTAAATGTGTAATGTATGCAGACGATACTACCATTTTATGCAATTCTTCCGATCCCACTCTTCTCTAAAATGAACTAAATTCAAATTTAAAGTTGCTGAATGGTTTGATAGAAATAACCTTACATTAAATATTAAGAAAACTAAACTTATGATCTTTGGAACCAATGCAATTTTAGCTAAATTTTCAAATATTTCATTATTTTATAATGGCATGACTATTGACAGAGTTGATTCACATTCAAATATCTTGGAGTTGTGTTTGATTCTAAATTAACATGGTCTGAACATATTGAAAAATTAACTGGTAACATCTCTAAACACATTGGTGTTATCCGCCATATTAAATATATTTTACCCCATAATACTCTTAAGATGTTGGCTAACGCTCTAGTTATGCCTCTTTTTGATTACTGTAATATTAAACTTTCAAATTCACTTCAAATACTTTTAAACAGATTAGGAAGTATTTTACTTTCTGCAGACATAAAAACCCCAGTTGTAAACATTTTAAGTTCATTAGGGTGGAGCAAACTCAGTGATAAATGGGACGAACAATTGCTCATAATGATTTTCAAATGTTTAAATGGTCATGCTCCATCATATTTATCGAAAAATTTTGTTTTTAATTATGATTTGCATACGCATTGTACTCGCAGTCAAAGTAAAAATAGACTAATTGAATACACCTGGAATAATATGCAAGGTAAAA